GAATATGCTTCAGCTTAACCAGGAAAGCATCTGGCCTGGAATGGGAAGGACATAGAGGTTATTACATTTGAGTTAGGAGGAAGCACAGTACAAGAGGATGGAAGACATAGATTATTGAAACTGTTCTGAAGGCTATGAAAACCACTGGTAAGGAATGTGAACTAACAAAACTGTAGAGTCACTCAACAACTGGAGGAAAAAGCAAACAAAAATTGGAATAAATCAATAAGTCTCTTAAAGAAAACCAAGAAAATAAACAGGTGATGCAGACAGTTCAAGACTTGAAGACTGAAATAGAGGCAATAAAGAAAATACAAACTGAGGGAATTTGGGATATGGAAAATCTAGGTAAACAAACAGGAACTGCAAATGCAAGCATAACCAACAGAATACAAGACATGGAAGAAAGAATCTCAGGTGTTCAAGAAACTATAAAGAAAATAGGTTGATTGGTCGAAGAAAATGTTAAATACAACAAATTCTTAACACAAAACATCCAGGAATCTGGGACATCATGAAAAGACCAAAAGTCCAACTTAAAGGCACAGAAAAATATATTCAACAAAATCATACAAGAAAAAAACTTTCCCAACCCTAACAAGGATATCCCTATGAAAGTACAAGAAGCTTACAGAACACCAAAAAGACTGGGCCAAAAAAAAAGCCCTTGGCATATAATAATAAAAATGCAAATCATAGAGAATAGAAAAGAATATTAAGAGCTGCAAAGGAAAAGGGCCAAGTAACATATAAAGGCAGACATATCAGAATTAGACTTAACTTCTCAATGGAAACCATGAAAGCCAGAATGTCCTGGATGGATGTGATGCAAACATTAAGAAGCCACAGCTGCAAGCCCAGAAAACTACACCCAGCAAAGCTATCAATCACCATCGATGGAGAAAACAAGATAGTTCATGACAAAACCAGAATTAAACAATACATGTCCATAGATCTTGAAAGAACAGTACTCAACTTCATATGGAAAAAATGAAAAATCCAGGATAGCCAAAACAATCCTGTACAATAAAAGAACTACTGGAGTCATCAAAATCACTGACTTCAAACTCTACTACAGAGATATAGTACTGAAAACAGCCTGGTATTGGCATAAGAACAGACAGGAGAATCAATGGACCTGAATAGATAACCTGGATATTAATCCACACTTCAAACACCTGATTTTTTACAAAGAAGCAAAAAATATCAAATGGAAAAAAGAAAGCTTAATTAACAAATGTTGTTGGCATAACTGGATGATTATCAACATGTAGAAGAATGAAAACAGACCCATATCTATCACCATGCACAAAACTCAAGTAAAAATGCATCAAAGACCTCAACATAAAGACAGCCACACTGAACCTTACACAAGAGAAAGTGGAAAATACACTTGAATGCATTTGCACAGGAGGCCACTTCCTAAATATAACCCCAGCAGCACAGACACTGAGAGAAACAATTATTAAATGGAACCTCCTGAAACTGAAAAGCTTCTGTAAAGCAAAGGACACAGTCCACAAGACAAAACGACAGCCTACAGAATGAGAAAAGATCTTCACTAACCCCATATCAGACAAAGGTCTGATCTCCAAAATATACAAAGAACTCAAGAAATTAGTTATCAAAAGAACAAATAATCCAGTAAAAAAATGGAGTACAGACCTAAACAGAGATCTCTCAACAGAGGAATCTAAAATGGTTGAAAGACACTTAAGGAAATGTTCAACATCCTTAGTTATCAGAGAAATGCGAATCAAAACAACTCTGAGATTCCATCTTACACCTGTAAGAATGGCCAAGATCAAAAATACTGATGACAACTTAGGCTGGAAAGGTGGTAGGGAAAAGGGAACACTTCTGCATTGCTGGTGGGAATGCAAGCTGGTACATCCCCTTTGGATGTCAGTGTGGTGATTTCTCAGAAAATTAGGAAACAACCTTCCTCAAGACCTAGGAATACCATTTTTGGGTATATATCCAAAGGATGCTCAATCATGGCACAAGGACATGTGCTCAATTATGTTCATAGCAGTTTTGTTTGTCACAGCCAGAACCTGGAAACAACATAAATGCCCCTTGACCGAAGAATGGATAAGTTAATATGGTACATTTACACAATAGATTACTACACAGCAGAAAACATAACAACATCTTGAATTTTGCAGGAAAAAATGGTTGAAGCTAGAAAAATAACAAGATCAGAAATGAAAAGGGGGACATAACAACAGACACTGAGGGAATTCAGTGAATTATTAGGTCTTACTACAAAAGCTTATATGCCACAAAGTTGGAAAATGTAAAATAAATGGACTTGTTTTTAGATAAGTACCATTTACCAAAATTAAATCAAGAACAGGTGAACAATTTAAATAGACCTATAAGTTGCAAGGAAATAGAAGAGGTCATAAAAAACCTCCCAACCAAAAGAAGTCCAGGACCTGATGGTTTTAATGCAGAATTTTATCAGAAGTTTCAAGAAGAGATGATACCTATCCTCCTATTTCACATAATAGAATCAGAAGAGTCATTGCCAAACTCTTTTTATGAAGCTACAGTCACCCTAATTGCAAAACCACACAAAGACCCAACCAAGAAAGAGAATTACAGACCAATCTCATTCATGAACATCAATGCAAAAATTCTCAATTAAATTCTGGCAAACAGAATCCAAGAACACATTTAAAAAATTACCCATTATGACCAAGTAGGCTTCATCCCAGAAATGCAGGGCTGGTTCAACATATGAAAATCTATCAATGTAATCCATCATATAAATAAACTGAAAGAAAAAACCATATGATCGTTTCATTAGATGCGGAAAAAGCATTTGACAAAATTCAACACCCCTTTATGATAAAGGTTTTGAAGAGTTTAGGGATACAAGGATCATACCTAAATATAATAAAAGCAATATATAGCAGGCCAACAGCTAATATCAAATTAAATGGAAAGCTTAGATCCCAATCCCCAGACAAGAGATAGAGGGAGAGAGCAAGCCTGAGTCTGGTGTGGGCTCTTGAAACTGCAAAGCACACTGCCATTGACACACCTCCTACAACAAAACCACACCTCCTAATCTTCCCCAAACAGTTCCAGCAACTGGAAACCTCAAATATATGAAGCTATAGGGGCCATTTTCATTTAATCCATCAGATTCTATTCCCTGCCCCACTCTCAGGCCATTATCATAATGCAAAACTCATTCAGTACAACTTTGAAAGTCTCCATCCTCTTTCAGGGTCTCAGGACTATTTAAAGTCCAAAGGCTTTTCTGAGACTTAAAGCCATCTTTTCACTGTAACCTTCATAACCTAAAAAGGCAAATTACACACTTCCAACATCTAGTGACACAGAATATATATTACCTTTCCAAAAGGTAAGGAACATAGTGAGGAAATACAATACAGAAGAAAGACAAAATCCAGCAGGGCACAATCTAAATTCTGTATCTCTATGTCCAACGTCAAAGGCTTATTAGATGGCTCTTCACATCTCACACACCATTAAACAGTGCTGAAGACAACACACTTATCTCTCTTGATTCCACACCATGTCTGCACCTCTCCTTGGCCAGCATCCTCTCATTCTGGCATCTCCAACATCCTGCGGTCTCCATGGCAATCCAGACTTCACCTTCATAGCTTCATACGAAGGTCTTCCCAGCCTGCATGCAGGTCCTCCACTGCTGCATGGTTGGTTGACATCAGCAGTTTTCCTTAATCTCAGAGGAAGTTTCCACAGTTCATTTACTTCTGTATCTTTCATGACTCTAAAGGCAGAACCACATGGCAGATGCTGCCAAATTCTTGGGCTTCCTTGTCGGGAATGTAGCTCTTTCTTTATATTACATCTGCATAAACTTTTTGCTGTTGTTTAGCCCTAGGAAATCCCTCAGGGTTTTTTTTCTTTTTGCAGGTTGCAGGCTTAGCTGACTTGGATCTCACCCAAAGAGTACCACACCTTGTATTCCAGTCAGCAAGCAGCATTTTCATCTCTTTGATAATAGGGCTTGACTCCCATATCATGTGCCCTGCTGCTCTTTTTCTCTTCACACTGAACATTTTGGATCTCTTTTGACCCCACCTGCTCTTTTTCAGAAGACTGCATAAGAGTGATCACTGACAAACACAGTCTTGGAATTTTCTCTGCCAAAGACATTCATCCAAAGCTCTTCAATTTAGATTTAGCTTCTGTCAGGTTTTTAGAACATGGGCAAAAAAGCAACTACTTCTTTAAAAAAATATATCACAAGAGTGGTCTGTAGTATTAGTTCCCTCTAAAGTCTCTAGCTGGCTCTCCGGAGTCAGCATTACTCTTGGCAGTTCTGGCTTCCAAGCTCCTATAGGATGGTTTGGGAAACCCTACTTACAGCATTCAAATATTTTACTGGTCCAAAATCCCAAAGTCTTCCATATTCCTCCAAATAATATCATTGTCATACTTGTCACAGCAATATCCCAACCCCCAATACCAACTTCAAATTTAGGGTTACTAATGCAGTCATGAAGCATGAAAAAAAATTTAAAAGCATTAAATTGAGGGCTTTCTCAGTCTCAGAGGATTTGTCCATTTCCATTTTATCAGGGAATGTAGCATCAAACAGGCAGACAAGGGGCAGGAAAGTAGCTGAGCAATTAACACTCTGATCCATAGGCAAGGGGCAGAGAGAGACCTGGTTAACTTTTGGACAGAAGGTGAGAATTTTGATTGACATCCCATCCTCAAGGAAGTTCACCTTAATCAGGATAATGCACAGAGCCCCCACAGCTTAGTTATCTCTGCTGCTATGGCATTCTCCACAAAAACAATGAGTGGTGATTATCTCAGCACTCACATTATAAAGCATGGATTGCCTGTGTCCCAGACTAAATTGCAAACTGTATTGGGAGAAACTTTGTAGACAATCTGTGTCTACCCTGAAGGTTGGTGTTGACAGAGGGTTCACAGAACAGAACTGAGTAGACGACATGGAAAGAGGAATGCAGACAGCTCAGCTTTTAGAGCTCTCTGACTACACAAGCACAGTGTGTTGTCTGGCGAGAACAGGTACAGCAGAGACAGGAAAAGGAAGCATAGTGTTTGATCAGCAGAAAGGGGCAGAATGCTGGAAAGCACATAGCCAAGGCTAAATTGGTATTTGACAGCCACTGAATGGTCCCATCGATCACAGACAGGTATGATGTAATCACAATAGAGAGTACATAGAAAAAAACAAAACAGCTCACTAAGGTGAGGATGCTTTGGGTGGCCCTGCTCACAGATGATGACTTAGAAGACAGGGATCTATGGATGTGTTGGACCCTCTGCTTGTGTTTGCGCAGGATAAACATCATATAGCCACTGGCCCACATCATCAATCCCAAAAACATGACATCATTGGATGTCAATAGAATTGCATTAAGTGCGTTAATTAATCTTCCAGGGTTCACGACAGCACAGTATCCAAAATATTTTATTCCAGTAACATTTCTTCCAGCCCTTATGTCAGTTGTGTACAAGGGAATGAAGGCATATATCAACATCTGGAGGGCCCAGCACAGACCCAGGGAAGGACCAATGATCCTGGGGGCTCTGACCTTGAACTGTGCCCATTTGGAATTACTGGGGCTAATGGTGATGGCCTGAAAGACACTCAGCAGGGATGTGGAGCCAAGGGATACTCCTCTGGCAACTCTATGAAAATATAAGGTGAGTTTACATGAAACATAATCTAGAAAGTAAGTCTTACTAAAAGCAGCTGTTGTCTGGGAGATTCCTTTGCAGAGAACAATGAAGTTGGCTATGGTCAAGTGTTTGACAATCATGTCTGTGGGTTTCACCCTGATTCCAGAGAAATCAGCAATGATAAAACAAGAAAGTAAGACTGAGTTCCCCAGCATTCCCAGTGCTGTCTGGGACAAGAAGACGAAGCCCACAGTCAGGTCTCTGGAGGCCATTCTGTCACAGTCTTGGGTCACTGCACAACAGGCGCAGAGAGCACCTGTTACACAAGTTGCACTGTTCTCTTCTTAGCATTTCAAACACTGCAGTGCATAGTCACTATCATCTTAGCTTCATAAGTGATGTTAAAATGTTTCTTTCCAGTAAGAAGTTTCCTAAGTCTTAACAATTCCTGTTGTTTTATTTGCAGATACTTATCCAGACATTGTGGTAAAAGCTGATCTTCATATTGCTATAATAGATGTTAGCATTTTCAAGTACTTTAGAATTAACAGCTGGTTTAAATTCCACAGTGTACAGGGTGTAATAATCAAGCTACATTCTGACGAGTATCCTGGATGCAGATACACTACAGATTTCCAAGATCCCAGCAACTAGTAAAAGGTAGAGACTTACCACAAAGGAAATTGTCTGACTCCAGAGAAAATAATAACCCCTAACTAAGATTCCGTTGACAACCGATAACTGCTAGAAAAGAGGGAGTCTGCTTCTTTTAAAATGTGTCCCGTAATAGGTTGACCATGAGCCAGTGGATGGTAACACTCCCAAAAGCAGGTGGGCAGGACAAACTGTGCTTTAAGGGCTGAAAGCTTAAAAAGATACAAAGATGGATAGTAGAGAAAGATGGTAAATCTGGGAGGGGGGGTATGAAAATGATCAAAATATATTACACAAATTTCTCCAATGATGAAAAATGAGAAAACACGATAGAGAATAATAAAATCACAATCAAATTTGAGAATGAAAAATAGAGAGTAATAACAACCAAGAAAGAAACTAGTGACCATCAGATATCAGGAAAGAAAACATTTGAATTCTTCTTTGTCAGCACACTCACAAGGAATTGAATTTGCATATGTCTGTGTATACATATATATGCTTATGTTTGCCTGTGTTTTCAAATTTACTTCCTAATCTTTTAACATATTGTATATAACTTAAAATATAACCCTATAATACTTAATCAAGTATACAAAAAAGGAAATAACAAGGACCTTGTGAATGTGTTTAAAACAGGGTGCAATGAATGCATTTATTCATTAGGACGATCTCTGTTGAGATTCTGCACCTTGTTGTGCTAAAATTAAAGCACAATAGACACAACATGGAAACACTGAACAATAGCATCCATTTTAACTGTGGGATATAAAATTTAATGAATATAGTGATAAATGTTGCAGAAATTGACAGATATTAGAATACTGTCAGTTCAAGATGCAATGGGTACCTAACACATAACCCAATAGTAATTGACACATCTGTTTGATTCAAATATGATATATGTGTTGGGAATGGTGACACATGCCTTTAATTCCAAGACATTTTAGGCAGAGTCAGAAGGACCCCTGAGACGTTGAGGCTGACCTGGTCTACATAACAGGGTCCAGAACAGCCAGGACTATGTAAAGAGAGCCTGTCTCAGAACTAAATGAATAAAAAGTAAACTCTGGAGGCCATGAACATCTGTGTCTGGGGGACACTGAAATAGCAGGGGCCTCAGACCTTAGTGATATGAGGTGGCATTCATTCATTTAGAAAAAAAATGGCCACCGACTTGAAATTTAGATATTGAAACAGTGTTTTACCACTTACTCCTCTTTTCACAGCCCAGAACAAGAAGCCTTCTAAACAAATATTAATTTCTCACTATGCCACTTTACACAGGCATTTCCAAAAAGTGAAAATAAAGTAGTCTGCATATATATAAAGCTCCAGGGGGAATTAGAGTTGTCAGAGGCCATCAAACACCTCTCAAACTGTTCTTGTAAATAACTAAACTCTGGAAGAGATTTTACAGGCCAGGGAACAGGGTCTGAGATTCCCAAAAGAAAAACAAGTGCAGGTGAATTCTGAGAAACAGTCACAAACCGTTTTAGTCACCAGGCCCTCCGCATTACTGTAAACAAATACACTGTCACTGTCTTGGAAAAGAACACCAAAATATCGAAATCCAGAATGGTGTCTCAGCTCCAGCCTCCATCAAACCATGTTGGGTTCGGGTCTTGGGCTTATCTTCCCATTAGAAGCATTTAATCCATACAGGAGCTGTTCGCTGAAAGAGGAGGATCAGTCCAGAAGTCGACACTCACCCACCTTCCAGACACTGCCCTAGCTTCTGCAGACTGGATACCTGAAGGAAAACAACTCACCTGTGTAGGTAGGATTCTTCTGTGATGCTGGTTGCTAGATGTAAACTCAGAGGCCAATGGGACCTACAACCCTAATATGACTACAAAGTTGATAGCCTCCCCAATGCTGAAGGTTGAATTTCTCTGAGCTCTTCCCCCAAGAGGGATGACAGAATCATGTCACAACGAGGAACAATGACATTTAGGTCAAGGGAGTTGACATCACCTTTCTCATCAATAAGCAAGAAAAACTTTTCACTGAGTAATGAACATTGCAGAGGGGCAGTTAGAAGGGTGAAGTGATTCTTTTCTACTGTGATGTCAGAGGCGGAGAGTCCAGGTAGGAGAAGCAGATGGGTATTGTATTCTAAGGAGCAGGAACTGAGGCAAAGGGTGAAGTAAGAAGTCCACCATACTAAAGAGATGCATGAGTTACATTACATTCCATACCTTTACATCCTATGAGACTGGAAGTTTTGTTGGACCTCCCGGCCAGAATTAATGCACATTGATCCATTAAGATTAAACTGTTATCCCACTGGGCACTCAGCCTGTTTTTGAAACCTGCCTTTAAGAGAACAGTGCAACAACCAACATTACTTACCTTGGATTTTCCATGTAATCAGCTTTTACAACCTAAGCTAATGCATAGTTTTAATTCTAAAACATGAAGTCTTCTGTGCCCCTGACCCAAGTGTAATGCATGTGAGTATGTATGTTATGGTAATAAATGATGAAAACAGCAAGCAGTTTGAAAGCAATATATTATGAAACAAATATCCACCAAAAATGTTGAAAATGGCATGATAGGTCTGTCTGTGTTCAGTGATGTTTAAAACACTGTTTGTTATCTGACTCCGTTGGAGACTATTGGAGTCAGTGACTTACTCCCATCTAAATTCTTTTAAAGATTCCTATATAGTATCCCTCATTTCATCCTCCATGTGAAGCTTCCATGCTGTTCAATAAATGCAGAGGAAAGTCTTTTGTGAGGCAGACACAGAAACACAGAGACAGGTCCAGGCAGATGCACAAGGTATCAACCTGGTAAGTACTGATCCAGACTTACACAACAGACAGACAGAGAAAGATGGAAGGCACGGTGAAACAAAAATAAAGAATTCAAATATGGGCTTACTCTTGGTTAAGTATGCAGGGATGGCAGTCCCCACAAGCCTGCAAGCAGGTGAAATACCTACCTCTATGAGTTCAAGACCAACCTGGTCTACAAGAGATAGTTCTAGAACAGGCCCAAATACTACAGAGAAACCTTGTCTCAAAAAAAATTAGAAGAAAATACAAACAAAAAATAGGAATAAGTCAATAAATTCATTAAAGGAAGCCAAGAAAAAGCATATCCAACGCTATGGGACACTATAAAAACAATGCTAAGAGGAAAATTGATCGCACTAAGTGCCCAAATAAAGAAAATGGAGGAAGCTCACACTAATGACTTAACAGCACACCTGAAAGCTCTAGAACAAAAAGAAGCAGGCTCATGCAGGAGGAGTAGAAGACAGGAAATAAGCATATTGAGGGCTGAAATCAACAAAATAGAAATGAAAACAATACAAAGAATCAATGAAACAAAGAGGTGGTTATTTGAGAAAATCAACAAGATAGACAAACCTTTATCCAAACTAATCAAAAGGCAACAAGAGAACAACCAAATTAACAAAATCAGAAATAAAAAGGGGGACATAACAACAGACACTGAGGAAATTCAGAGAATCATTAGGTCATGCTACAAAAACCTGTACTTCACAAAATTGGAAAATGTAAAAGAAATGAACAATTTTTAGATAGATACCATATACCAAAATTAAATCAAGACCAGGTGAGCAATTTAAATCAACCTATAAGTCATGAGGAAATAGATGCTGTTATCAAAAACCTCCCAACCAAAAAAAGTCCATGGCCAGATGGTTTTAATGCAGAAGTCTACCAGAACTACCAAGAAGACCTAATACCTATACTCCTCAAAGTGTGCCACACAATAGAAACAGAAGGGACATTTCCAAACTCTTCTTATGAGGCTACAGCTATCCTGACACCAAAACTACACAAAGACTCAACCAAGAAAGAGAATTACAGACCAATCGCCCTCACAAACGTTGATGAAAAATTACTAATAAAATACTGGCAATCAAATCCAAGAACACATCAAAAAAATCATCCACTATGATAAAGTTGGCTTCATCCCAGAGATACAAGGATGGTCGACATATGAAAATCTATCAATATATCATATTTATTTATCATATAAATAAACTGAAAGAAAATCGCCATGTGATCATTTCATTAGATGCTGAAAAAGCATTTGACAAAATCTAATACCCCTTCATGATAAAGGTCTTGAAGAGATCAGGGGTACAAGAAACATATCTAAATATAATAAAAGCAATATACAGCAAGTTGACAGCCAACATCAAATTAAATAGAGAGAAACTGAAAGCAATTTCACTAAAATCAGAAACAAGACAAGATTGTCCATTCTCTCATATCTTTTCAACATAGTTCTTGTTTTAGCAATAGCAATAAGACAACATAAGGAGATCAAGGGGATTCAAATTGGAAAGGAAGAAGTCAAACTTTATTTTATTTGCAGATGATATGATAGTGTATATAAGTGACCCCAAAACTCTACCAGAGAACTCCTACAGCTGAAAAAATACCTTCATTGATGTGGCAGGATACAAGATCAACTCAAAAAAATCAGTAGCCCTCTTCTACACAAAATATAAAGAAGCTGGGAGGGAAATCAAAGAAATATCACCTTTCATAATAGCAACAAATAACAAAAAATATCTTGGGGTAACACTAACCAAAAAAGTGAAAGACCTATTTGACAAGAACTTTAAGTCTTT